TCTCCCATCTCCCATCTCCCATCTCCCATCTCCCATCTCCCATCTCCCATCTCCCATCTCCCATCTCCCATCTCCCATCTCCCATCTCCCATGTCCTGTGCCCTGTGTCCCATGTCCCATGTCCTGTGTCCTGTGTCTCATGTCCTGTGTCCTGTGTCCCATCTCCCATCTCCCATGTCCTGTATATCATAAAGGTTGCAGGTAGAATATTTATTGGATTGGGGTTAAAAGTCTTTTTTTTCAGTCTCCCCTAGCACTACCCTCAATATACATAATGTATGCTACACCTTCCATATATTCAATATATTATTTGTTGACAATTAATAGGGGTTATCGGTTAGAGGTAGGGTTTATCATGGGCCAGGGTTAACTAACCCTCAGCCTCCTAGGGTCCCGCACTGCCGCAGTGGAAGCAGATTTAGTTCCACTTCTAGGCTTGGACTTAGGGTCCGGATTGACTTCCTTCCTACACGTGGTGCCACGCGAACCACGTGCTTTTCGCGCGTGGTTTTGCCCCCGGCTTCTTCGGATTGCTTTCAGTATATAGGGCATATATTACATGAGGCGGGCGACGATAGAGTGCACTGGACACACATCACCAAAGTCGGATTTGCTACTAGAGTGTCCACCACTTATTCAAAAGCAGTGCTTCTCAGTATGAGTCTGGACCCCTGTGTCTGCCCTGTCCGACGCAGCGCACAGCAGACATTCCATACCCCGCCCCTGCTTATTATTCATTGCCCAGTGCTCACCGATGAGCACCAATTTCAATCTCCTGTAATACATGGACATTTGAATATTACTGTGCCCGTCGGCTAGTATTCAGGAGCCTTGCAACACGTTTGAGGATATATGTTGGTCATGGCCGATCACCGCCGTCTTCCCGCTGTTGACATTGGCAAGAGCAGACGGGTGCTAAGTTGGTACTGAGGGGGACGTTTATTGGGCTAGTATTCAGGAGCCTTGCAACACGTTTGAGGATATATGTTGGTCATGGCCGATCACCGCCGTCTTCCCGCTGTTGACATTGGCAAGAGCAGACGGGTGCTAAGTTGGTACTGAGGGGGACGTTTATTCGGCTAGTATTCAGGAGCCTTGCAACACGTTTGAGGATATATGTTGATCGTGCGACCGCTGTTGACATTGGCAAGAGCAGACAGGTGCTAAGTTGGCACTGAGGGGGCCGTTTATAAAAGGAGGAACAATCGACGTCAGGGCTCCTCACTCTGGAAAGTCTCTAGCGCTGGTCGCAATCACCTCACATACGCACTCGTAATACGAAACCTTACTCTCACACATCAGCAAACTCAATACACTCTCATTCATCATGGTCCGCTCCTCCACCATTGTTCTCACCCTCACTCTTGCTGCAACGGCGTTCGCCGCCCCTTTGTCTTTGGAGCGCCGAGCTGCTCCAATGGAGGAGCATGAGCAGTAAGCCTGCCCTGTCATTGTCATAAAGCATGTATCGAGAGTGCTGACTTGTGTTCAGTGCAATGCGAAGCGAAATGGACGATGCTTCCCTCGAAAAGCGGTTCATGGACTTTATTAAAAGCCATCCATTTATAACCGGTGCGGTTGGTGTCGCCATCGGGGCTCACGTCATCAAGAAATTTATGCCCAACAAGGGGCAGCCCGCGAAGGCTCAGAACGACCAGTCCGAGAACGAGCAAAATATTTACCCGAGGCGTGACTTGCAAGATGACGACGAATACCTCCTCGAGATGAGGGACATGGAAGACAACACGCCCTGGGTCGTACTACGCGATGCCAACATGGAATACGTGGCATCGACGTTAGAGAAGCGCGGGTCGTTATCTGACATGGAATAGGGTTAGGTTTGGTGATGTCCTCAATTAATGACCGACCACTTGTACTTTGCATCCACAACCGTACACCGTCACCATAGAGATCGGTCATCTATTGAAGTATGCTCTTTCGCCGACCATCTGTCCTCACATTGTGAAGCGCATAGAGTCCGTCTTGACCAAGAAGACTTCGACAAACTCGCGGTTCTCGCCCGTCCCGTAGATGGCATCGTTGAGTACCTTTGACAGCTCTTCGAACGTCCGCTTGACATGCAGCGTACCAGCCTTTCGGAGCTCTGAAAGTCTATCATAACAGCACCGTCACCAATCAGCATACTATAGCGGACGCCGCAAGAGCCGTTCCTCTTACATCCATGTAATATTATCACCCTCGCTCTAATCATCTTGATCACTGCACCTCGTCGGAATCCTCCTGCTCCTTCGCGTCCTGTTCTTCGTCACCTTTGATCGTCATTGCACTGATCAACCTCTCCTTCGACATCCTTGTCCTTGAATATAAATAGTTCTAGTTTAATTTAGGTACACGGAGCACTGCCACGAGGGGTTGACGTGTCACACAAACACTCGTGACGTGTAGAAATAAAAATTCGCCACTTTTGTAGCATATATAATCTCTTCCTACTTTCATTTTACATTCACTTTCAGTCCAGGATAATGCGAACAACCCTTCTTCTCTCTCTTCTTGCTCTCGTTTTTCACTCCTCAGCCAGCCTATTAGCAATAGACTATGGCGCAGAATGGACCAAGGCAGCGCTCATGAAGCCTGGAGTGCCATTCGACGTCCTCCTTACAAGGGACTCTAAAAGGAAGCTGCAGAGCGTCGTAGGTTGGAAAGGCGATGAAAGGCTATTTGGATCTGAGGCTGCTGCTGTCGTATGTCCATCTCTCTCGGTGTGTGAATGTGCTGCTGCGCAGGACTAACCAATGAGTGCAGCAAACGAGATTCCCTACGGACTCGTTCCAGTTCCTCAAGCCTCTCCTCGGAACAGAGTATTCCCAAGCTGCAGCAGCAAACCAGAGCGCTGTATCGCTCGCTCGGACCTCAGAAAGTGAGCGGGGGACGTTCGTTTTCCATCGGTCGGACGGCACGGCGTGGAATGTCGAGGAGCTCGTGGGGATGCAGTTTGGGTATGTGAAGGAGCTTGCTGAGGCTTTGGGGGGGGAGCCGGTCAGAGATTCCGTTGTAACCGTACGCTCACCTCTTCTTTCCCCTAAGAACATCATGTTGAAAGAAGCAGGTCCCAGCCTACTTCTCGCATTTCCAGCGTCAAGCCGTGCTCGACTCGCTCGAAATTGCCGGCTTGCGCCCGCTCGCACTCATAAATGATGGCACGTCTGTTGCTGTTAACTTCGCCATGACTCGGTCCTTCCCCATCCCGGAGACGCATATTATCTACGATGCCGGGGCGGGCTCTATCCGCGCTACGCTCGTCACGTTCTCTTCCTCCGTTTCTAAGTCGAAGAAGGACAAGGACAAGGAGACAACCCTCATCGAAGTCAAGGGAATGGGTTACGACCTTGTTGCGGGGGGGATGGAGCTAGATTTCCGCCTGCGCGAGCTGCTGGAAGAGGATTTTGCGCATAAGACTGGTGTGAGGATCCAGGGTCCGAGGCCTGTCGCCAAGCTCGCAAAGGAAGCGGCGAGGGTCAAGGCTATCCTCAGCGCCAACATAGACTCTTCTGTTCATGTGAGACCTTACTGACAGAAATCAACGCGCGAGGCTGACGCAAACAGATCGAGAGCCTGTATGAGGACATCGACTACCGGAGCAAGGTAACCCGGGAACAGTTCGAGGCTGCTTGTGCAGACCTGAAGCCGAGGTTTACCCAGCCTGTGTTAGACGCACTGGCCATGGCGAGACTGACGATGGACAACGTGACGAGTGTGATCCTTACGGGGGGCGCATCGCGCACCCCGATGATCCAGTCGGTGGTGAACGCCGTTGTTGGGAAGTGCGTACATCTCTGAATTCAGGTCGTAGCCTACTGCTGACCCTATATGCGCAGGGGAAAGATTGCACAGAACGTCAATGCGGACGAATCCTCCGTTCTGGGCGCAGCGCTCTACGGCGCCTCCCTGTCGCCTCTTTTCAGGACAAAGGACATCAAAGTTCAAGATCTCGTCCCTTATCCTATCCAAATGTCTTACCCCGCTGGGCAGCGGACGATTCACACCCCGCTTTTCCCCCGCGGCTCTCGCGCGGGGCTCAAGAAGACAGTCTCCCTGAAACGAGCCGAAGATTTTAGTGTTCTGTTCGAGTACAAGGACGCGCCACTCCATACACGAGAGGAAATCCTCGAAGTGTCCTTCAGCGGTGTCGAGGAGGCCGTTAGGAACCTCACCGACGGAGGAGCGAAAGAGACAGTCGCTAAGCTTACCGTGCAGTACTCTGATAGCGGGCTGCTCAGCCTCAGGGAGGCGGCGCTCATTGGAGAGGGGTATGAGCAGTCGTTTGCCGGTGCGCTGAAGGGCCTGTTCGGGGCCGGAAAGCAAGAGGATGTTGACCAGGAGGCGGATCGGCCCGGTGCAGAGGGGGAGCAGGCTCCCCTTGAGGCTCCCGAGATGAAGCAGGATCCGAAGGAGCTCCCGCTGGCATTTTCCGAAGTTGCCCGGTCGGTCCCCGGCCTAACGAAGGAAAGGAAGAGGAAGAGTAGGCAGAGGCTCATGGCGCTCGACGCTGCTGAACAGACCAAGCGGCGTCGGGAGGAAGAACGCAATCAGCTCGAGAGCTACATCTACAAGCTCAGGGACGTGTTGCTTAGTGATGCCGAGACGGTTTTTATAGTGTATTCGAGCGAAGCGGAGAGGGCGGCATTGCGCAGCGTGCTGGAGGAAGTCACGGGCTGGATGCATGAGGCTGCTGAGACGGCGGAGCTTGTGCTCCTGAGGGAGAAACGCGCTGCTCTTGAGTAAGTGGACCTGGTTCAGTTTTCACCATCCGGGCTAACGTGTCCCAGGGCAGCGGAACAACCTATTCAGTCCAGGGTGAAGGAAGCCCAGGAATGGCCCCAGCATCTGTCGGATCTTCAGCGCGCTCTCACAGCAGGCAGGATCTTCCTCACAGGTGCATTCGAGAGCCGGACTAGTGACGATCCTGAGAACCCGCCGCTGCATTCGGACGAGGAATTGGAGAATGTCAAGACGATTTTAGAAGATACGGAGCACTGGCTTCAAGAGGCGCTTGTTGCTAACAAGAACAGGGCGAAACATATAGATGCCACAATCAAAACGTGGGAGATGCGCTCCAGGGGGATCCTCCTACAGGATGCGGTGACGAAGCTGACGCGGCGGAAGGCGCCGAAGAAGCCTAAGAAGATGTCGACAACTTCCGAGTCTTCTTCTACCACCGGGGCTGCCGAGCCTGGAAAGACGGCTGGCGTGGAGGGGCAAAATGACGAATCTCAGATACCATTGCATAGACAGGAACTGTAGCAGGTGAGATGTACCCGGATGTGGTAGATTAATGGCAGATCATTGTAGATTACCAATCGGAAAAAGCCTTGTCCTATTTCTATGCGTCACTGGCCTTCAAGACTCGATAGCATACAAGTCGCACGAAGCATCTGTTTAATCGCCTCACCAGTCATCGCGTGCAGCATACCAATCGGTAGCACCCCTGGCCCTCTCTCCCAGCTAATCGGCGTCCCCTCCGTGCGCAGCACACAGGTAAATGATCCGGATGCTGACGACGAACCGTGTCCCACGAGCGTTACATCGCATGAAAAAGTCAGGGACCGACAGGGATGTCTATGTCTTGTGACGAGAGGCTGGAACTGCTGAATGCGTTGAAGGCTTGGGAAATACAAGTGGGGAAACGTTCTGTCGGATACGGTGACGAAATTGAAAATATTCATGACGGAGTCCTCGTAAGCCATAAGACGCGCGTCGCATAACGAGAAAAGCAAGTCTCGGATGGAGTAGACCAGAGTAATATTCTCGAATATTGTAAATTAATGGCACACCACTGTACATTACGAATCGAGGCTTACAGGAAACTATTTCTCTGTGTCGCCTGCCTCTAATCCTCGTCCCTTCGCTTCCCTTCGCTTGCGGACATCCCAGTTGTATACCCTTGCCAGATTCACCTCCATGACCGTGATCTGCTCGCGGAGCCATTCCATGTCCTCGATGGCGTTGCTTCTACTCTGCTGGGCAGTGGCAAGTTTGCTTGAGAGTAAATCATGGGCTTCATTCAATGGGTACGCGAGCATTACGTTTGCCTGTAAATGTGTATAAGTAGGAGTTATGAGACCTTATGGTACATCAGACGTACTCCAAGCCACAGATAGACCATCTCGGAAATCTCAGCCTCAGCATATAACGTATCATTCAGCTCAAATGTGGTCTTCAATGGTGCTTCATCTACCCCATCATCGTCGAGGTCTTTGTCCATGTCTTCTTCTTCTGTTTTTGTCTGTCTCCTCAGTTTCCTGTCCTGTACTATTCTCAGACCCGGTCTGTTGGGATGAATTTTGACTCACTCGTCGGTCTTTCAAAAACTCAACCATAGCGAGGGTCTTCTCAATGTCGGGTAATTTTTGGTCTAGCCCTTTTCGTCGGTTCTGCACGTTCAGCTCCATGTACCGGTACTTTCTAAGGAACAGTATTACGATTTTTAGTCGTATTACTTGTTATAAAGATGCTCACGCTATCATCTCCTGGAATTTCGCAAGGGTGCTCTCAACCGTGTTGTTGCCTGGCCCAAGGTACTCCTCGACATTTGACTGACCGGAGTTTAGATGGCTACACCGGTTCAACATAGCTCACTCACAACAAACGGTGCTCTGGGTATACCTCTCGGGTTTGTCTCAACCTGCGGCTTCGATGATGATACGGACATTTTGTGCGACTTCAAATTGCGTTGGTCGCTGAGTGAGAATGAAATGAGGGCGCGGAGGGTCGTGGCTTAGGCTGTGCAGATGCTCATCACGTGATTGTGAACGATATTAAGAGTGTCCTTGTCCCGGAACCCATCATAATCCCCAACAATGTCGAATATTCCGGGCACGCTGTTGACACGACCCAAATCCGAAGAATTCCAAATCCAGTTCCGAGCTCGAGAAGTTCCAAGCACGTGCCGAGCAGCAAAATTCTTGAACAAACTCGTTGATTGGGACTGGCAGCTGGTGTTTTCGGGACCGGATCATCGATGAAATGAGCTTTGGCCGACCAACCTTCCGCAAATATCATCGGTATGGTCACAGCCGCTCAGAAATGAGTTCTCGAGGGAAACTGTGCGGAGGTGACTTCCTGGCAGTGGTGGGTTTACAGTTTCCCGTGTCGCTCTTGACGTTACTAACAAGTGCGTATTCTTCATCCTCATTCGTTGCCTCTCAAGTTCACCCCCCGGCACTTGGATCTACTTCACAAATTGCATCGTTCATAGGACGATGTTCTGAAATTGCTCAGGAATACAACCTGCTGAACACGTTTCCCAACACTGATCCATCCCCGCAACATATTAGAGGACCGATGCATTTCGAGCTTTGTAAGCGAGCCCTGCCTCTCTGGCTCTTGTGCTGGTTAACACTGTCTTTGATTTGCAGACATTACGATTTTTCTAAGCGTTTTGAATATTATCAACTCGGTGCCATGGGCTGGGAACCAATTCTCTTGATCGATATCGACAATTTAGCGAAAGAAATTACGCAACACCGCATCTCAAGAGTCAATATCATGTTTCAGCGGCCTCTCCAATCAGGCAGGGTGATCTACTACACAGACACATGGCGACTGCAGGATATGCCTCAAGCTCCCGGGCCGCATATCCGGAAGCACAGGCCAACATCGCCCCTCAAGGACATGTACCACGCTACCCGGTGCTCTCATCAAGTTTACAGAACACCATGGCATCTCCAGGACATGCCCCAGATCCCCCGGCACCCCATCCAAATGCACAAGGATATGTGATGCCTCCACAAAGCTACCGAATCCCCTACTCGAGTGTAGGGGACTCCACGGCCCCTTATCTGAATGCGCATGGGTACATGGGATCCTATGCGACACCACCGTATCCTTTGCCAGAGTGGGAAACTGCCTGGCAGGAAGAGGACGAGGACGTCCGCTAAGTGGACAGTACATATGAATCCTGGAAATGAAGAAATGCTGCCAGGACATATACCTGATCATATACATAGCATTGTGTCTCATTCTAATAATCCATACAATGCGGAAATTGAAACATGACGTCCCGGTGCGAAATTACGTTGTCTGAATACCTAGACGATGCAGCGCCGCCTCCACGGTCGCTGACGTAGTGTCCTCGCCTTGTTCCGTCAATCCTTCTCTCGCCAACCGCCAATCCTCATACCACTCAGGCTGACTGTCGTCGTACAGAGCATCCCAATCCACAATACAGCAGAAACATGTACGTTGGTCCGGACGTACCTCATGTTTCAGGACTTTCACCAGGTAGTCGTGGAATTCCATGGTAGGCGGCATATATTCCCATGAGTACGGCGAATCGCATGCGTTGTCCTCTACGTAGGTGAAATACCCTCGATCAGAGAGCTCGACGATAAAGTCATGGGGTAGACGTGAGACAAGAGGGCGAGAATTCATCGATAGGTGCATTCCCCGTCGCAAAGCATGCTGAATGCCGCAGGGATACTCTGCCCACTTGCTTTGGTTTTGTGTCCAGGGGAAGAACGGATACGGCGACTCAGAAGCGAACTCTTCGGAAGGCACATCAGAAGGACAATCTCGAATGCACTGCTGCAACAAGCGTTCCTGCCACATGAGATCCTGACAGGACATCAGAATATTGGCCTTCATAGATGGCTGACACTGCCCACCATCGTCTCTTTCATCTGTTTTCTGCTCTGTACTAAGTAATCTTCTGATCTCCGGGTGTCGCGCACGACAACTGTTCCAAGCGAACCAAGTTCTGCATCCACGTCGTACACGTCAGGGCATGGAGCGCAAAGCAACATCAATGTGCTGCTGTCAACCATACCAACCAAGAGCGCGACGCGCCCGTTATCAAAGGCCATCGGAAAAGCATGGGTGAGCAAGTCTCCTGGTTGCCAGATCTCCGCTCTAGACAGCTTTGCTGCTGGGAAGAACAAGGAACGAACGAGGGAGCCACCTTGCATCCAAAATGCATCTAGTCCAGCCTGGCGCACTGCCATGCCGATCAGCGGCTCTGAGTCAGATACCACGAATCCACACATCTTCTTCAATGACCAAGGCCCTTCAATTTCATTCAAACGAAGCCGATACTGTCGTACCCAATCCGCAGTCCGTGAGAGAAAGTTGATTGATAACCCGGAATCCGGGCCATCGAGAAACTGACGACTGCGATTGTTGTGGAGGATCAGCGTGTCCAGAGCACAGAGCACATGCGGGAAGTCGATGATGTCCTTCCATGCAACCGTCAGTGGAAGTTCAGTGTTCTCCAGGTCGCTCAAGTCATACACTAGTGTGTGCCGGTCGGTGATCACGATGAGATTGTTGGAAAGAAATGAAGCGCATAGAAATTTGTCCTTCAAGGCGATTAGACATGGCCACTATGAGCGGAGGCGAAGCCTGCTCACCAGAATGGGTGCTAAGAGGTCAATATTAGCACGGCTCTGCCAATTGCATAAGTGTAATCCAGGCTGTCCCATCCAGTCAGCGGCACATAGGAATCGATCATTGGAGGCCAGAGGCCGGGAGCTGTTGGGAAATGTCACTACTCGCTGCAGCTGCAATTGGTCTTCGTTTTGATCTCGAAGACGAGGTGATGCATCGCAGTAACATGTGGATCGAAACCGGAGGAACTGTCTACGAGCCGGAGATAGCGTTGTGAATCCGGTTCGTCAACTTGCAGGATGGCGGTCCTCCGAACGAGGGATCACTAGCTGCAGTTATGTCGGATAGACTATAGCGACAGTGTTCCTCTCTTATATTCGAAAGCCAGGATCGCGCCGTCGTGGGTGACAGCAAATATGAGTCCAACCCCAAGCGTGGCCCATTGGATTCGAGCCCCTTCTAGCGGCACCCAAGTAACTCGAAGATGGGACTGTTGTCTGTCGCTCTGGGACGTCTGACGTGACCACTTTCTACTTCCGATGGCCAGAAACAGCCTCTTCCGATCATCGTTCATCAAATTCCACTTTGCGGGGTACTTTGACGGGGCAATTGTACCCATCTACAGATAATGGTATAGTCGTCGTGATATCGGCATCGTCATTGAGCCGTGGAGATGTTGACACGCCTGAAGGAGATATTTGTGCTCAGCGAAGCGGAACTCCCCCGTGAAGCTGACCTGGGATAAGCGGAGCAGATCGTCGTCACCAAGCAACTCCGATATTGACCACCACAACTCCGTGGGGAGGGCGAAGACCTCAGGATCATTTTCTGAGCTCGAAACGATCCATTGTCCATCAAAGATAACAGACATGAGTGTCCCAACATGGAATACAAGACTAAGTGTTTTGGAGCGAGTGTTGTTGTAGGTGGTAGGCCAAAAGGGAATATGGCAATTAGGGATGCACAAGACAGCAGCTCTGCAGGGGCATGGGAGGAAATTACGGGGACATCATGGACCCTTGCTTCTTTGTTTCCGAGGAAGCAGTGCCGGGGGACATGGTCCTCGACTGCCTTCAATGGTCGATGTAACGTGGACGTAAGCTGTCCTGGTCCATCTAACGCAGTTCATTACCTCTTTGATCTCAACGACCTCCAACCGGTCATCACTCGGATGTCGTCGGCCATTCCGATCGTCGCTCCGACGGCCGGCACGGAGCAGGCAGTCGACAGGACGGCGCGTCCAGCCAAGAAGGGTACGTTCGGACCCGCGCTCCTCAACAGGCGCGTTTCTGACCGACAATCCGCACCCAGACCAGCTGCAGCGTCGTACACAGTGTCGTAATGAGCTCATATACGGGTGTGTGTGTAGAAATACGTGTTGTTGAATGACGACACTGACCTTCGAATGCAGCTCGTGTAAATTCGCCGACAACGGCTGTCCATTCTACCATCCATCTGTGAGCCCTCTCGATTGAGAGGCAGTCACTATGTATTGATATGATTTTTTGCAGAAAGACAGTTCTGTTTCTATCGCGTGAGTTAATGGGGGAATATGTTGGCACAGTAAGGAATTGACAAAAACTATCAGCACTTCTCCGGCACCTCTTGTTGCCAATTCGAACCCTGCAACGCCTGCTCCGAAAGAGATGCCTGCAGGGCCCTCAGCCAACAACACCCCGTCCAAAGGAGGAAGCGGATTGGGGGGTCTCTCCGCAACTGTTAATGCGCCCATCTTCGTACCCAAGGGCTTTCCTTCTATGCTAGCTGGCCAACCCTCAACCCCGTAATCGCTCCTTTCGTCGTGCTATTTCAAACGACTCATGACTGCACAGCACAACGAGCACCGCGCCCAGTACTTCCCCAGAGTCCACAAAGACTACTCAGCCCACTGAATATGACTACGGAGATGACTTTCACTTCGACTATCTGGTATGTCTATGCTACGTTTCACGCCCCACCGTTCACGACTCACGCCGTTCAAGGACGATACTCCGTATACCAAGGCACCTGAGATAACAGCGCTGGCGCCTCCTTTTGTTCCAAGCTCACAGCAGGCAGTCGAGTCCTATCATCCTGGCATGGATCCATACGCGCATGAAATGAATCCATACTATGCGGAACATCCCTTATATCCGCGGCAACCTGTGCGTAACAATCCTTCCATGAGTTCCACCCGCGTAACCCTGGAGGCAGCTACAATATCACCTCTACAACCCACCTTTGCCTTATATGACCAACATCCCTTCGTCGGCCAATCCATTCTTGGCGGACGATGTCCGGGAAATGCTCCAGCGGCGATCTGAGGCCATTATGGAAACTTCGACAGTTGACTACAAACTACCGGATGAGCTTCACGTGTATCACTCTCTGGTTCCCATCGAGCCACCAGGAGAGACTAGGCATCCCAGGGTCTTCCAGTGGCCCAGCATATCATACAAAGCCATTAGCGCCAAAGACGGGAGACCATACATTCTTCGAAGATTCGAAGGTAGGGGGTGAATCGACTTCTGATAACCAAATTGACTGTTCTCGAAGGATTCCGCTTGATGCATGAAGCCGCCTTCGCAGCGATCTCTATTTGGAACCAAATCAAGCACCCTGGCATTGTAACGCTCTATGAGGCCTTCACCACAAGAGCATTCGGTGACAGTTGTAAGCATGAATGGAAGCATGGTTCTATAGCGCAATTTTAAATGCCTTGTCAGCACTTGTATTCGTTTTTGACTACCACCCGAATTCCGAATCGCTGTACATGGCACATATCAAGCCGAAGCAACCGCCAGCGAAGGTCGGAAGGTCCCAGCTTCATGCACCCATTCTTCCCGAAGCTGTTATGTGGTCCTATGTGGTTCAACTTGCAGACGCCATGCGAGTTGCCCATTCCCATAACTTGGCCCTGCGGACACTGGAACTCACGAAAGTGCTGCTGACCGGAAAAACTCGGTACCGCCAATTTCTTGATATGATTCTTTGCTGACGAATTCACAGGGTTCGGGTAAATTGCTGTGGTGTGTTCGATGTGTTAAACTTCAATCCTGCGCACAATGTGATTGGATTCCAGGTTGGTTCTCTAGCTACATGATGGTTGTGATATTTTGAGAATTCATTTGTAGCAAAACGATTACATGAACTTTGGCAAGCTCCTGCTGGAGTTGGCCTGTAATTCGACTGCTGCTGCCACCAACCTTCCAAAGTCAATGGATATGGTGTCCAAGCGGTACTCGCCCGATCTCACGAAGCTCATTCTTTACCTCATTAGTCCAGCGGGTCCACCGAAGAACCTTGACAAGCTATTCGAATATATCGGCAGTCGCAGGGTTCTCGAGGAGTTGGATACGGTGTCAAAGTATGGTCTGCACCCGTTATGCTTTCGCCTGTGCTGAATAGAGTCATAGCTACTCAGACTCGCTTGAGGGAGAATTGATGAGCGAGCTGGAGAACGCTAGGGTGGTGAGATTGATGAGCAAACTTGGATTCATCAATGAGCGCCCAGAGTACGAGCTTGGGCCTCGGACTGCTGATCAGCAGCTAATCTCTGCACAGGTTTGATCATGATCCTCGTTGGTCGGAGACTGGAGACCGCTACATCATTAAACTTTTCCGTGACTATGTCTTCCATCAGGTAGATATCCACGGTAACCCCGTGGTCAATCTCTCCCATGTCCTTGTTTGCTTGAACAAGGTGAGTGTTTCGATGGATGCTGTGTTGTTTCGTTGTCTTATTTGGTGTAGCTTGACGCGGGTGTGGACGAACGGGTAATGCTTGTCTCGCGCGACGAACAGAGCTGCCTTGTGGTGAGCTACAAGGACATCAAATCGGCGATAGAAACAGCGTTCAGGTGCGAGAAATCATTCCCGGCGGATGTGCTGGCCCCTTGCTGATTGGTTTTGTCGGCGGATGAAGCGATCTTTCCCGAGCATCTGTTTGATAACATGGGTATGTAGACTAGGCATTGTTCTCGGGTTCTCGTCTTGCAACTGTAGCAACAATAGCAATCAGGGAGATTGTACGGAATAGCCTCCATTCGTGATGTTCACGCTGAAATGAGAATCGGACGTAATGTACTGCTAATTGAGGTGCTCTGAGATCCCTAAAGTAAACACCTCGGCAGGCGCGGGATTATTCGAGAGGTCTCTCTCCGCATGTGGCCCTGTCCCCCCCTCCCACTCCGTCGTTCGCCTCGCCGTTTCGACCTGTCCACCACCATCAGCTCACTCTTGGCCCCTCTCCAACCTGTCCAGCACGGGTTCGAGTCGTATCGGTTGTCCCCATTCTTCTTATACACACCCGCGTACTCGTCGACCAGTCGCCGTTCAAATCCCTGACACCATCCCCACGCATGTCCAACCATACCTACGGCCCGTCGAGCGGTGTCATCTTACCTCCTAATCCACACCTTACTCCAGCTGGTCCATCCGTGCGCAGGGGTCAAAGACATCATTTCTTGGCTGAACTATCGCAATGTCTCTTTGACTTCGTCGTACAGCTTCTGCCAACCCCCGAGGAGCTAGCCATCAAGGAAGATGTGCGCAAGCTCCTTGAGCGCCTGATCCGGAACGTCGAGCCAGACAGTAGATTGCTGTCGTTTGGGAGCACGGCGAATGGTTTTGCGCTGAGGAATTCGGGTGAGCATCCTGCGCTTGTGACCTCGTCGAAGGGCACCGTCACACTTATGACTGACGCGGTCGTCGGGACCTCTGCAGACATGGATTTATGCTGCCTTATTGACTCGGACCGCCTGCCTCCCACCGCATCCGAGATGGTTGTTATGGTGGCCGACCTTTTAGAGCGAGGTACTCAACGCCGATCATTACCGGGGATTATATGCTCATCAGAACGGGATGCAGAAACGAAGTTTCAAGTAAAGCCGCTACCCAAGGCTCGAATACCCATCATCAAGCTCACTCTTGCTCCTACGCAAGGTCTGCCGTACGGTATCGCTTGTGATATCGGCTTTGAAAACAGGCTTGCGCTGGAGAATACACGATTGTTGTTGAGCTATGCCACTCTTGATCCGACCCGAGTTCGAACTATGGTCCTTTTCCGTACGTCCTGCTCTATTATCTTGCTAATCCTTGTCGCCTCATTACCATCTGTTATCAGTTAAATTATGGAGTAAGCGAAGGTATGTTCATGGGTCAATACTACGATATATGCTCAACGAATCTAGAAAAATCAACTCGCCATATCTTGGAACTTTGAGCTCCTACGGGTATGCGCTCATGGTTATCTTTTTCCTTGTACATGTCAAGCATCCACCTGTATTACCAAATTTGCAAGTCATACCGCCCTTGCGTCCTATCACCAAAGTGAGCCAGTAGTCATCCCACGCTTGTTGGTTCTAATCCAGCGCCGCAGGAGGATATGCACATTGGCGAACATAATATCTGGTTCTTTGACGATACCGAATTGCTGAAGCAAACCTGGCAATCTGCCAACACGGATGGTGTTGGAGAGTTGTGCGTGTATATTGCCTGATCCATCCTATTCATTCGCTAATCTGAACCAACCTAGGCTGGTCGACTTCTTCAAATACTTTTCCCATGATTTCCCTTATAACACACATGTAATCTCTATTCGCGGTGGTCTACTTGAGAAGACCTACAAGGGGTGGTACGAGGCAAGTCAGCGCAGAAAGCCCGTGCGGCACCCTTTCTCACAGGGACACCAGCCTGATCCCAGAGCACATGATTTATCCCGTGATCGGAATAGGCTGTGCATAGAGGTGAGCCAACATATCCTGATGAAACCGGGCAAAGCTCAACTGGGTGCCAGGACCCATTCGAAATTTCCTACAACGTTGGGAGGACGGTCACGAAGGACGGTTTGTATACGGTATGCGTTTTGGATGGTATCTCCTTCATTACTGACATTGTGTACAGATCCGCGGCGAATTTATGCGAGCATCTCGTATCTTTGCCTCTCGGCCAGATCGAGCATTTTTGGCGCTCACTCAGTTATGCGAAGAGCGTGATGAGGAGCTTGTGCGAGCGCCGAGTCCCCAGCCCTATCACGGCCCTCCTCGCTCTTTTCCTGCGCAGTCACCATATATAGTCGGCACACACTTCTGGAGACCAGTCACACAGGACCGATTGTCTCCACCGCGCCCATCAAACAAGTCTATAGAAGCGGAACAGCAGGAGGTTCAGAATGAGGCCAATGTTCCCGATCACATGGCACCTAGACGACAACGATGGACATCTCCTCCTCCACCCGATGCACCAGCATTTGAACAGAATATGTATCGAAAACATCTTGGCATCGGTATCTCAATCGGGACAACATCCATGTCTCCTGTTTCCGCCTCAGAAAATGATATGCCCACGAACGACGATATCCTAGAGGAGGAAGAACCCCAGTCTGATTTGGCCTCGTCTCCCACGCCTGGTGACGCATTTCATGAACCAAATAGCCGCTGGAAACGCCAATCCGCGTCTTTTGGATCCACAGCAGCGCTGGAAACAAGCGTCGATGTGACGCTCCGCACAACACGATCTACTCGGACAAGCCCTATGGTTGGACCGTCACCAGAACCTTCCGCCTACAGCCATACTGCGAAGCAGAATTACCGCGGACGCCCTGCGGGCCGCGGCGGAAACGAGGTGGTCTCCTCGAATCCACCGTCTTCTTATATACGTCAAGCAGAGTGCGGTTTCACGAACAACACCGACCCCGACAGCATTCGGCGATCTTTTTCCGGCCCTCCCGCCGTCCGAACGCCCATCGTGCCTTTGAACGGTGCTCCTTCGGGACCTGCTCCCACTAATGCAACATTCACTCGGGTGTCCATCCCGACTGAACAGAACAACGGGAAGGACGAAGAACCATCTCCAACCAGCCTATCCAGTGAAACGACCTCCACACTCAGTCGCAGGCTCTCTGGGCAGCCACTCGCCCAGTGGCGGCCCCAGGCATTCCCTTTATATCAGAACCAGTCGCCCACGTCATCTCCGGGGCATGAGAATGTTTCTTCCCACGCGAGTGACCTTGGGAGAGGGATAGAGAAGTTGAACATAAACACAGAGAAGGAAGGGAAAGAGAATCACACCCCGCCAGAGACCTTGAACGGAAGTGGTGAGGCAATGTGATACTGTAGTGGGTGTACCCCGTAGGTGGGTGGAAGATGGGAACTATCGGTCTGTCCGTCCCTGCCGTTCAACCGGTTTGCGAAACCTTTTCCCGGTGAAATTGCTTTGTCTTTCGGCCGACGTAGGACAACTGTCGGTCGGTTTCGTCTCTCGGTTGCTGTTTCACTGCGCTGTTCATGCTTGACAGCAAGCGTTTCTTGCAGGGGTCCTGAGTTCAATTATGCGCCAGGCTTCGTGCAGCGCATTTACGCGTTCCAGCAAACCTGTGCGAGGTTTGTAGATCCACAATCTTGTCGTATGTAGCTCGAGAAGATAATGACAAGTGCGTGCGTCCGTGCATATACAACCCACAACTTCGGCAAGTTATACTCCTCAGGTCGCACCAGTGACAGTTACAGACTGGGTTCTGCGATCCATATGCAATACACTGAATACCTCGATTTTTACATCAGGATTGACCCTGAAGAAAAGGATTCTCTATCTCCTCCCAACCGTCAACTGGGCTCAACAGTGTTATGGTAGGTCCGCGCAATACTACCAGCCCAAGATTTCGTTGCTTTGGCGGTTCTACAATCTGCATGAGTGATATTTTACATTGAGCAGCTGCGAAGAAAGTACCCGAGGAAAGGTTCTCTACCACGTCATCCAGCACTAGGTTCATCAGTTGATCAAAGCCCTTCAAAACACCCGTCACTAATTGGCATGTCAGATCATCTCGCCATGTTCGACTAGAACAACAGACGTACCTTCTCGTCCACCCTGAAACTTCACTCGTATGCGCATGCTCTCGTATTTGGCGAGGTCCAATATTGCCTCGCGTTTCGCGGGTTTCTCATTGGCATTCCCCTGTTGTGGGTTTGAGGCACCGCGGGCGCCTCCGCGCCCGCCGCCTCTTCCACGACCCTGAGGAATAAGATTAATAGAGTACAAATGACTTCAGTGTTTGTCATTCACCCTATCTGCCATGGGGGTTTATGGACAGGTGTTGTACACGCAGCGACTTTTGATGGTGTTATGAGCGAAGAGTCGCGTTGAATTCCAGTAGTGGCGAAGTGAACCCTGGTGCGCCTCAAAGCTTAATTTGTGCCCGCTTCGGAAGTATCTTACTTTTTTGGGGCTGCGGCATCAATTGGAGTTAGACGCGTCGAACCTCACGTCTGTGTGGAAGTAACTGGCCACTCACTCACTTCTCTCTCCGGACAATCATCTCCTTTCCGCTCTCTGTCCCGTCATCACTCCTTGTAAGGTACATTTCATTCTATACCTTTTCCATATCAATTGCTTACTCACTGTCATTGCTCATTTCCGCTGCTCTCCTCTATGTCATACATTGTGCACAAACGTGTATCCGTATGTAGATCGATCCCACCCATACTCTGCCCTACGTCACCAAGGGCAGTCTCTCATACGAAGTAACGAATTAGTTGGCAAGACTCCCAAAGCTCGACTGTCCTTCTACAATGGATCCCGCTCAGATCCTTGCAAACACTTATTCACCGGGTTAGTTGCTGTTTTATGAGTGACTGTAAGGGGTTGGTCTCACTCCCTATAGACGCCTCGACGCGTGACGATGCCACAGCCAGGCTCGAACAAGCAGCGAATGAGAACTTTGTGAGTATGATCCAGCATATATGTTAGGTAATGTCTGATCATTACTTCAGCCCGCATACATGTCTATGTTGTCCGCGGAAGTCACAAACGAAAGTAGAGACCAGTTCATTCGCAACGCTGCTGGTCTTGCCATCAAGAATGCCCTCACTGCCCGCGTATGCCGTTCATTCTCTAAGCCTCTTGTTGAGAGTTGCTTACATTGAATACAGGATCCTAAGCGTCAAAATGAGATGTCTCAGAGGTGGCTCGCTGTCGATGCGAACACCCGACAACAAGTGAAGAACAACTGTTTCATGGCTTTGCATTCGAGCAACACCCGTGCCGGAGGTGTGGCAGCTCAAGATATTGCCGCCATTGCTGCGATTGAACTGCCAGCCAACACGTGGCCGGAATTGATTGAACAATTGCTCGGTTTCGTGAACAATGCTGCCAATGCTGGGTTAAGGATGGCTACACTGCAGGCGATCGGGTATATCTGCGAGCAAGTGGCAAGTCTCAATTCGATCATACATGCCCTTGCTTGATATTAACTTCTGTCCAGAAACCCGAAATTCTGCAGACGCGTGCAAATGAAATCCTAACAGCTGTTGTGCAAGGGGCACGGAAGGACGAGCCAGAAACTGAGGTACAACTTGCTGCTGTCAACGCATTGTATAACTCTTTAGAGTTCGTACGAGACAACTTTGAACGCGAAGTGAGTGCTTTATCCAAGCGTATTGATCTGAACTGAATCTTTATGCAGGGTGAACGAAACTACATTATGCAAGTAGTTTGCGAAGCCACCCAGAGCCCCTCTGTTCCGGTGCAGGTCGCTGCTTTCGAATGCCTTGTTCGGATAATGAACTTGTACTATGACAAGATGGCATTCTACATGGAGCGTGCTCTTTTCGGCCTTACGGTTCTCGGCATGCGCAGTAGCGAACCAAACGTCGCCCTCCAGGCCATCGAATTCTGGTCGACCGTCTGCGACGAGGAGATTGACATCATCGTAGAGAACACTGAGGTAGGTTGATGAGGCACCAAGTGCCCGATGACTCTGATTATCCCCACAGGCTGAAGAATACGGTGAGATTCCAACACGGACCTGCAAGAACTTCGCAAAGATCGCTTTGAATGAAATTCTCCCGGTGCTGCTTACTCTCTTGAGTACACAAGATGAGGACGCGGACGAGGAAGAATGGAATGTGTCCATGGCAGCAGCCCATTGCTTGAGTCTCCTTGCCCAAGTAGTTCTGGACGACATTGTGTCTTTGGTGGTCCCGTACATCGAGGCTCACATCAAATCTGCGGATTGGCATCAGCGCGAAGCGGCAGTGATGGCTTTCGGTTCCATCATTGAAGGTCCTTCACCGAAGGGTCTCCAACCTATTGTTGCTCAAGGCTTGACTGTTCTTATTCCGATGATGAATGACGCCCACCCCGCAGTCAAGGACACAGTCGCGTGGACTCTTGGCAAAATCAGCGATCTCATGCTGAGCCACATTGCCATCGAGAACTTCATGGTTCCCCTCATCAATGCATTTGTGCAAGGACTCGACGAGAAAGGCCGAATTGCTCCGAATTGCTGTTGGGGCCTCATGAACATCGCCATACAACTAGATCCCACGGATGGCGACGCCGAGTCAACTCCGGATACTAGCCCCTTGTCCCCGTACTTCGATGGAATTGTGAATGCCCTCTGGAGAGTGACAGACCGTCGGGACAATGACCACAACATCCGCACAACTGCGTACGAAGCCATCTCGACTTACATTGAACATTGTAACAAGGATAACCTGAACACGGTTGGTCAGCTAGCTCAGCAACTGCTCGTCCGTATGGAGTCTCTGCTCAGTCAAGCTGTGCGTACCTTTTCTTCCCTTCAACTTGCTCCGCCTCTGATCCTCGATCGTAGAACGAGATCCTTGGCACGGATGACCGTAACAATTGGCATGAGCTTATGAGCAACATCTGCGGAGTGCTTATCTCTGTCACGCGAAAAACCGGAAGCAACATCAGCCACATCTCTGATCGCATGATGACCGATGTTCTCCAACTTGCGACGGTTGCCAGTCGTACCTCCACCGTGCTCGAAGATGTCTTCTTAGTGCTGGGAGCTGCTGCGACATCATTAGAACAAGCATTCCTGCCTTACCTCAATGCCTTCCTGCCGTTCCTCCTCGCGTCTCTGAAGGCACATGAAGAAACGCAACTGGTCAACGTTGCTGTCGGCTTGATCGGCGATATATGTCGCGCTCTCGGAGACCAATGTTTACCGTACTGCAACGCCTTCATGACTGCCCTTATCGAGAACTTGCAATCGGATACTCTCGCTCGATCTGTCAAGATTCCGATTCTGCAGGCGATCGGAGATATTGCCATCGCAATTGGCGGCAATTTCGAGCACTATCTGAGCACTATCATGGAGATGCTGAAGCAGGCTGGTGCTATGGAGGCTGACCCTGTAAGTCACACACTCCGATGATATGTCTTTTACTGACCCTGCTATTCAGCTCGACGCTGCGCTGCAGGAATACGTGGTACGGCTACGTGACGGCATTATCGACGCGTATGTCGGGATAGTCCAGTCGATGCGAGCAAGCCACAAGGAGAACGAGCTTCTGCCATACATACCCTCAGTCTTCATCGTTATCCTCAAATGCCTCAATGAAGACGAGTACGACCGCAGCGACACTTCAACGAGGACGCTTCTTGGCCTGATCGGTGAACTTGCCGTCATGTACCCCAACGGTCAGATCAAGGAGTATCTGCTGAATGATGCTGTTGTCCAAACGCTCAAATATACCCGCGGTCGCTCAAAGATAACCAAGGCGACTGCAAAGTGGGCCAAAGACGTGAGTATTGACGTATTGTTAGCTGAAACCCTACTAACTACCGTGCAGGCCGTGAAGAAGGCCACAACCTTGGCCTAATATTTTTATTCCGACTTTGCTTGTCATCGTGTTTCATTTCTTCAGGTTTTCGAGTGCTAGTCTCCCGCTTAACACCGCAATCGCCCTCGTCATCTAAGGATGTCCAATGTTTCCCAGTTTTACATTATTCGAGTCTTCAAAACTCGCTATCACGAAAATACGACCGCCCACTATTCGCTCAAGGACGCGAATCTGATACTATCTCGGTTGTTCCGAGCTTCGTGACCGGCATTCAAAGCCGTTCTGCTCCGCCAGTACTTGGCCCACTGCTAGTTTCCTTCCCAAACGGTAAGTTGACGATGATTAACGTTATGATATATTCTAGCGGTCCCTTCCAGCGCGGGCGCTTCTGCGGCTTTAGAGCACCTCTAGCTACTGCTTCGACTGAGCTCTCGATGCCCCTACTTTTTTCTTTTTCTTCTCGTAATCCTTCGTCCACGACCTTTCTGTATCATGCCTTTCCTACCCGTGCGCACATCACTACAACTACCATTCCCCGCCCCCTGCAATCCAATCCATTTTATCACCTCAAGCATGTCCCTTTGATCACATCATCCCCAATCATCCTGTTCCGGTGGTCGTGGTTTGCCTGTCTGCCTGTCATGCCCTCCCCCAATTGTATTTCTTGTCCTCCTCCTGTTCGTTGCCGTGGAGAACTGGTCATTTCTTTTCGGCCTAGTTTATCCGTCTTTACTTTTCTCTTTGGTAGTTTATGCCTATGCTGCATAATGGAGTTGTTACTCTCTAGTAAGATACTACCCTATTTGGTAATTATCCTAAAGTTGCCTCCGTCAACTACGTCACTCCACGTCCCTTTGTTTCAGCGCTTTTATAACTGTCCTTCAAAGTCGACACGCCATACTCTACAAGTTCTCATCCTCTTTCCCTTGCTACCACCATTCAAAATGACGCTCTACTACTCAATGTGCTTCATTCTTCTCACCGCAGAGATGGTCTTCTTTCTCGTCCTCATCGCTCCTCTCCCCTTTGCCATCAGACGCAAGTTCTTCACCTTCCTCTCCGAGTCTCCCATCGTTGGAAAAATCGCCTACGCACTCAAGATCATGTTCATCTTCGTCGCCATACTATTCGTCGATGCGGTGCAGAGGATGTTCAGGACGACCGCTGAAGCAGATCTGGCAAGGTTGAATCAGGGGGGTGCGGACGTCCGTGCTGAAGCGAACTTTGCTGCCAAGAAATTCTAGTACGTATGTGCTTCACGCATCGGTAGATATATCCTGATAGGATGGCGCAGCGCACAACGCAATATGTACCTTACGGGTTTCACCCTCTTCCTATCCCTTGTCCTCACCCGGACGTTCTACATTATCTTGGACTTAATCCACACCCAAGAAGAGTACGCCAAGCTGAAGAAGGCAGTACGTATCCATTACTCACGATACACTGCTGTATTCTGACCGGAGACCAGTCACAATCAGGTGACCAGACCGCGCAGCTTGAAGAACTTAGGGCAAAACTCGAGCAGGCAGAGGCGAAAGCGCGTGACTATGGTCTGTCTATTCGCCTGCTTGGCCTCTGTCTTTGATTTGACATACGTGTACAGATGTTCTCAAATCACAAGCAACCAACCAAGCGAAGGAGTATGACAGGCTGGCTGACGAGTACAACGCAGCCACGAGCGGGAAGAGCGACAAGAAGGCAGACTAAACATTGCCTCATTGTGTATGGAGGAGATGTTGTGGAGCAGTTGCCGATGAGTGAGGGTGACAGCTCCCCAACGTTTTATATCCCTTTACTCTACTTGATTAATTTGTATCGAACATAGCATTGTGCACGCTATCCTACGTGTCCGCGATATGCCTCTTCCACTCTTCGAATTCTCTTCCATATCCCTCTGCTCGCATATACGATGCGATGCACCCATTCCAGTCGACTGTGTCAGCTCTCATCAGCATCGGCTTTCTCTTTCCCAAATATTGTGTTAGCTTGACAATCGCGTTTCCCTCCAACTCGGGCTTCCAGTCCGGTAAACCGTCTTCATCCACTCCTGCAGCTCGGCACCACCGAACAAGCGGCGCAAGTCGCACAGTATCGACAGCAGGGCACGCATGAGAGATGTACAACACCCGCTCACGTTGGTTCTGCAGGTTTCCTAATTGCTCGGATTCGGACCAGTTGATCTCCAGGGTGAGGGATCTCAGTCGGGGAAGCGAACTAAGATCTTTCACTAGTTTAGACGCTGGATCTATCTGCAACCTGCTTTCAGTGAGATTTCACAGGAGGCAGAGACCAAGCATACATCGGATGGCAGCATCGTGCTACGACTTGGTCGGCTGTTGATGCTCACTCCCGCCCTCGCAGCGATGTGCAATTCCTCTACCGAGGGGGGAAGGATCCCCCGCACATGCGGCACCGACGGGAATCGAACAGCGTTGTGTAGTAACAACCTCTTCACCGGACATGTACTGCGCATAAGAGACGTCCGGACCTGCTCGGCCATCCCGCTCGCATCAAACGCCTGGAAAGCGTCCAGCAGCGTAACATCTTCTACTGGACATCCGGGGATGAACAGCTGTGCGAGTCCACATGGGCCGGTGAATTGCGTGAGGTGGGTGGGTCGCGCGTACTCGAATTGTTTCCAAGGCTGAAGAGAAGGGTTCAAGAACGGAATGAACCCGCTTTCGCCTTGATCCAGGTATAAGGCGAGGGATTTTATGTACGGATGGGCGATGAAGAGTGTGCAGAGGGCCGGAACGTCAATGGGTGTAAGGCCGTTCAGTGTGAAGGATTCGAGAGATGGGAAGTGAAGTTTGCTGAGAACGGGAAGGAGGATCACACCGGCGCTTCCAAATGTCTTGACCACTTCGAGATGGCGCAAAAGAGAAGATTCGGCCAGCTCAAGACAAAGTGCTATGTAGCTTTGATCTTCGCTGCCTCCATTGATGGACAGTTGGGAGAGTTTGGACTTGATGTGTCCGGTCGTATTGGTGTGAAACGAACATCCAGAGAACGATAGCTCGCTCAAACTCGTGTTTTCGCCGAAGATTCGCTCGAACGGAGAAATAAATGCGCATCGCTCTGCATGAAGCACTTCAAGCTTCGTCATCGCAGCGACGGCATCATATACCACGGTTCGGCTTGCTTCACGGCTGACATCTGCCGCCGTTTCTTGTCGAAGATACGCAGCGGGCATGAGCTGTCCCGCTCGAGCCAGATATATAGCATCGGGGCCCAGGTCCCAAGATATAAGCGTGAGAGACTGGACAGCTGAAGCCAGCCTAGGGTCGTTCTTGATTCGCTGGCATATCGCGAGTGCCTGTTGGCGGAGTGTTTTCATGCCATAAAGCGTGATTGCCCGCCAGGCAAAAGGACGAATGAGACGGTAGAACCTTTTGCAGGAGAGCGCGACGTTTCGATACAGCGATTCATAGCCACCTCTATAAGGTATATTGCATGGGGGAAGCAGCTCGAAGATTTGAAGGAATAGCTCATCGGGAAGTTGAGCGGCCATTGCCGATCAAATAGACGGCCAGTCCGGGAGAAAAATAGTTACGTTGGTCTAATACGAATCTTTCCGTACAGAGTAGTACAGACTTACAAAACCGCACTTTGGGCCAGGGGTTAGATGTTGATACAAGGAATGTTCGAGGTCATCATCAAAGGAAGCGTCCAGTATAAAGCGGTGGTCAAGAACTAAGAAGCCTACGTAATGAGTGGCAGTGAAGAAGTCAGCCGTGGGACCCCGATCATATTTCTCTCCACATTGACAGTACTAGTGATCCGACAAATCCTGGAGGTACATCCGGGACACAATCTACGTACAAATAGGATCATTTCAATCATCAAAAACTAACTCGTCAATCACATCGCTGAGTCTGTCCCCTGTTTGCCATGGCGACTCCTCCAGAATTCACTCAACCTTCCTGCGCTCGTTGTCCGTCTCCAGCAACCTCAAAAGGGCTTTCATCTGGCCATCATAGCCTTCTTTACTCAATGACGTGACCATGCCGATCAATGGTAGCGGGGCGGTAATGGTGCTTGTCACCGTCAACTCTGACCAGCTGTCCCTGCCTGTTGCCGCCGTCGTTGAAATATCATCCGACTCGGAAGGTCCGGTGATCGCCTTGCACGACCACGACGCGCATGTTTTGACTCCCAAGGGTACTGAGAGCGAGTACTCCGCTCCATCGTCGTTAAACTTTGCCTTGACATGATAATGAGCCGGTGTGGTGATCAAACCACCGAACCAGGACGATTTGGTCTCCAGATTCCACAATGATGGATCTGTCTCGTCTTGCTCAATAGCGATCGTGTTTGGATTAAGTGCTAACATCCTTCCAGGAGACTTCACGATCTTGAGCACCGTATCCACTGAGAAGGGGTATTTGACGGTTATGACGACCGTCTCATCTCGGGTAAACATGTTGGCGGCCCGCTTTGGATCAAATACAGGGGATTGGGCTGCATGACACATCAGATTTGAGCGGTAAGCATGCACAACACTTACTCAAGATCTGTTTGTCTGTCACTGAAGCTCTGTACAAAAACGGATAGCGAACGGCTCATGTACGGTACCACGTAGAACTGCCAAATGGACCTCCGCAGTTCCTTTGGCACGGCCGCTGAAACGTCGGATGGATTTGGGTAGGCACAAACAAGTGTATGGGTGATCATGTTCTCAGTCGGCCGATCCCAACGTACTCTCTCACCCACGTATGTTTGCTACTCGACTAGTGTTACATGTTTATAGGCAGCAAACCATGACTCCCATGTTCATGTAGCCGCGATGAGCTTATGGATCACCGCTGAGACTGATCTGCAGGCGCTCGTACCCTCAGCAGATCAAGAAGCCCTTTCAACACATCCTCGTGGCTCTTCCGGTATAAAGAAGTTACCATCCCAATCAAGGGAAATGGGGCCGTGACTACAGCCGTCTCCGTCAACTCGGTCCATCCCTCACCCTGATCTTCCGATGGTGTATCGTCGGGTGGACCTTCCATAGCTTTGCATGTCCATATCGCAACGGTCTTCACGCCGAGGGCAGCCTCGACAGTGTACTCCGCACCATCGTCGTTCTGCTTGGACTTGGCTTCATATCGAGATGGTGTGGTGAGGAGACCACCGAACCAAGATGTCTTCGTCTCCAGTGTCCAGATTGATGGATCCGTAGCGGATTGGGTGACAGACACGCAATTCGAATTCAGCATCATCATTTTCGATGGAGATTTTATGGTTTGGAGAACCACTTCTATTGGAAATGGGAGGTTTTCCGGCATGGCGAACGTTTCGGTTCGTGAGAACATTGCTGACTGAGGCAGGTCCTAATGGGGAACAAGTTAGGTGGGGTATGTTGATAGATATAGAAAACCAACCGTTTTCGTGGGATCCTAGAACCTGGAATGGAAGTTGTCGATTGATGGATCCAATCCGATCGTTATTATGGTAGAGACTTAACGGTACAATTCGATCATAGAAGGCAATGATTTGTACGGAAAGCCAGGCAACGGATGTTTTTAGCCTTAGAGGTTTAGGCGCAACCACTGCCTTCCTCTTAGACCATCTGCCAGAGTGCCATGTTCACAACACCCATGACTGGAGGATGTCGTCGTATCTCATCGACCTACAGCTGTAGGTCATGCAGATTTTGCCGTGACATGAGCGTGCACATACATAGTTATCAGAGCAGTGAAATGCGTGTGTATTACAACATCTACCATTCCGTCTTTATGCGATCTATGAATGCGAACTGGTGCGACCTTGCCTCCTTCTCGGCGATAGTGTCATATTCTTCGATCTCTTTCACGGAGATCTTAGCGCCGCCGCAAACGATAAACACGAGCGGTCGGCGGGTCTCTGGGTCATTCTCTAGGGTGGGATGGTAGGCAAGGATGGTATGATACAGAGCTGGATTGTAGGCAGGTACCAGGACGGTACCGCAGGCGAGTTCTACAAGCATCTTATGTTCCTCTGATAAGGCTTCAGTTAGAGGAAGGAGCGAAGGGGCAGAAAACATACCCGCAAAGAGTGCACACGCTTCCATGCTAAGCGGATCGGGAACAGACATGCAGCACACTCTTCCTCTCTTCAGAATGGTTGAGACGACTCTTGCAGAAGGGGCGGTCGCACCCAAGGACGCAGCACGAGAGTCAAGTTTGTCCAGAGAAGCTATCTTCACGCTTCCTTCCTTCTGCAGAGTGACACCATTTGCGAGAGAGGCCGGGATAAGAGGGATTTTGCCCTTCTCGCTGGCAAAGGAGGAGTTGGCGACCATCGTACGGTGGAAACAGTTGGATCCCACAGTCTCGCATCCAACGATGTTGACTGCTCTAAGGTTAGCAGAGTCTGGGGCTGTTCGAGACTAAGACGGACCGTCAGGCCACCCGACCTCGGTACAACCTTGCATGATTCCACCCAGTAGGCCTCCGCCTCCTACGGCGCAGAAGATCGCTGCAGGGCGCTCGCCGGGGGGAAGTTGTCTCTTGATCTCGTGCACCATGGAGACATGTCCTTCCCATATTATGGGGTCGTCTACCATTAATCAGTTTAGTAATGCGATAGCAAGATGTATGACTCACCATACGAGGGGATCATCACTCTACAACGCAAGGTTCAGCTAGAGTGTTGTTAATGAAAAAAGAGCACGACTCACGCATGTTTCTCATTCTCCAACGCCTTCCTCGCCGCTCCCAACGCATCCACATACTCCTTTCCTCCTACCACGACCTTCGCCCCTTCCCTCTCAGGCAGGGGCACGATCCTGCATGCCCCCTCGGGGAGGAAGATCGTACACTTGATGCCGAGCCGCTTGCAGCTGTACGCGAGGGCGAGGCCGGTGTTGCCAGAGGAAGCGGAGATGAGATGTACATTCGGACCGTGGCCGTCCAATGCGCGCTGGGCGAAGAGGGATATGCCACGGTACTTGAATGACAGGGGTGGTTGGAGGTTCTGTGATTAACACCACCACCATACGGTCAGCCATATATAGCGCCCCATTCTGACAGAAGAGAACACCTCAAGCTTCAGATACACATCACATCCCAATCTGTCGGACATCTTCTCCGACCTCAATAGCGGCGTCTTGCTCCATAACGGCTTCTCGGTGTCTACTTCTGGCTGGAGCAAGTGCTGGGATGGCGTAGAAGGACGCGTCGACGGGCGTGAAGAGAGTCGGCGAGCAATGGGCATCGAAGTGGGTATTAAAGTACAAGTCTAGCGTAAGCGAAAGGAGAATATATATATATCAATACAGTGTTGCCCAGTACCGCGCCGGTCACTGCGCACATGCAGGACCTTGGCAACCTTGGCACCAGCGCTTATCTGCAGGTCCCTTGCTTCTGCTCAGGTAGGATTCAATATATTTCAAGTCAGGGTATGACTGATTATCTGCTAGTGATATTGAAATAGGACTATAATTTGGTATAGACTATCAGTTGGTGAGACGCACGGTACTCATGTAGTACATGACTGAACCACTTGGACAGACATCACAGTCCGTCATCCGGTGTGGTTGTCATCACCCATTCCAGGAGCTGCTTGCGAACAGTATTGGACAACAAGGCCGCGTAACATTTCGGGTCAAGCTGTTCAATCGCCTAGTGATTGTGAGTCACAGCCTTTGAATGCAGAAACGTGGCAAACTCAGTTTTGCGAACGCACGCCGCAGCACATCTGCATCGGCTGGACTCGTATCCCAATATCTGATGACCCTCGACTGTGGAAGACTGAACCGGGGATCGAATGGGCCATCATATCGTACCCAAGACTGGTTTCAGTTTAGAAGGGCGAATACTCGCAATAAAATTGTTTACCGGGTACTGCACAGCAAGGCCAGGTGGCAGGAACATGGAGAATTCCCAATCCACGAGTCCCGTCACTTCGCAAGTCTCGGTGACAAGAATGTTTCGGGGTTCTGAATCCAAATGAACCAACATTTGAATGTCGTTCTCCAGAAGCTCTGCCTTCCACACCTCAGGGTTTGACCGGATGAGCTGCACTGTTGCCAGTGCATCTCTTTTGTCCACTTCCTCCGTCCCAATCACGTTGGTATCGTTGGCGTTGCAATCGAGGCAGAAAAGGATGAGGTCGTCCGCACAGGCAAAGGCAGCAGGGGGAGTGCGGGATAGTGTCCCTGACGGTGCAATGACGTGACATCTGGTCTGATCCCACCAGTGCAGTGTACCTATCTGCGTCTGCCGTCGGACACGAAACAATTCGCAGACAAATCCGGCCATTTGTTGGATGATCGACGTCTGCAGAGGATCAGACACATACTCCTCTCCAAAATACTCGTGCTCACCTTGCTCTCCAATGTCATTCTGCCCCAGACATAGTCGAGACGATCACCTTCGCACTTGGACACCAACATGAGCGGATTGTGCGATGAAAATGTCTGCTCCGTAGTATGAAACCGTACGATAGGAATTGGGAGGGCGGTATTCGCCGTCAAGAACTGTAGGACAGCCGCCTCGCACAACAGTTTACGTCGCGTCGCGAGTCCGTTCATCTTGCTCAAGCGAAGGACCATCTCTGCGCCATGTGCGGTGCGGACGAGAATAACCTAAAAGACGGACACAAGTACCAATGAATCGATGCCTCTCGTCTTTCATGAATATACTCACATCATGATATGAGCCACTCGTGATCCGTGTCAATGATGTTGGGCGCACGGAGATTGTCTCAATTACGATCTGGACGAGAGTGTCCGCATCATATGGCAATGCGGTGGCCGCTACGGATTTAACATCGCTGAGAGACAGCTCGTTCGTCGTGAATAAGTCGCCACTGGGTACTGTGTAGGTAAACCAAGTGTCTGGAAATGTCGTGATTTCTTCTTTCCCTGCTCTGTCATAAACCAGAGACGTGATATCCCGACAGTGTTCCGTCCAGTCGCACACGTATTTCTCGGTCTCTAATTCAGTTTTGTCAAGGTCTTTGCGATTGAACGTTAGCCCCGAGCTGGTGGAGTCTGAGGATTGTTTTGAGACAGAGGGCAACATCGCAACGAGATATTGGGGGTCGTTACATCAATACGCGCCAAGGAACTCACCAATTTGCTTCCATAAGTGTCAATGCGTGACTCGGCTTTATCTCCTTACAGGCGCGGGGTTATCGGCAGTTCTTTCAGTGACTCTGAAAGGTTGAGATTGTTTAGACATGGGGGCGTGTGGGGTGTGATAGGATATCAGAGGATATGGCTGATACGAAGGAAGATATGAGGACGATAACGGTGTCTGTGATTAATTTACCGAGTAAATTACGTGATCTTCAATTCAGTCTGTCAGGCTATGGTCACACGACACCTTGCATTCAGGGACTACTTTCTCTTCCTGACAAACTCCAGCAACCCTCCTACGGCGCCCCTCTGCGTGCCCGTGCTACCGCGTAATCAGCATTCTGTCAAAGTCAGGGAAGGAAAGACTGACCAAACTCCCAAACAAACAAGCCCGCAGGCTACTCCCAATCCCAAGTGCGTCAGATCCCCGGACAGAGATGCCTCTTTCCTCCTCTCGCTTACCCGGAGCAGCGCACCGGCAAGGAGGAAGGTCGTCCATACTACCCAAGGAGGGGAGGCGCGTTTGAGGCTTACGAGTCCCGCTTGCCCTCGGGCGGTGAAGTACTGTCGTATGTAGACCCAGGAGTATGCGGCGCGTAGTCCTAGATTGAGCGTGTTCGCATAGACTAAGCCCAGCTCGCCTAGCTCTAGAGTGCGCATGAGGCCTAGAGCAGCACAGAGGAATGTCGCGGAGAACAATAGAAGTGCCCAGGATTGACGACGCAGGTCTGCTTGCTCAGCCGTGGAGGCGAAGAACGCTTCCAGGATCCCATTGAAGGCCATCGTTGGGAGATAGAGGCAGTAGCCGGTAAGGACACGAGGGGCGGAGGTGGCAAGGTACCGCTTTGGTAGGAGGTAGGTGAGGAGTGTTGAGGCGAGAGGATGACCGAGGGAGAGGAAGAACAGGAGGAGGTGAGTGTCGCATAGCATTAGAGAGGAGAGGACGTCTGCTGCTGCTTGGAGGGCGGTGAGCGGTTGTGGGTAGGGCGCGGGGTTAGAACTTGAAGGATCGGGGGAGGAGGGGAGCGCGTCTGGTGCGGAGAGGGTCTTAGAAAAGAAAAGACGGGATGTCTCTTCCATTGGGAGGAAGACAATGCGTGCCACTAATGAGCCTGATGGGCCGTTAGCGACGATTTGAAAGGGGAAAAGGGTAACATACCATAGTTGTTCGCGAGAGCGTAGCCGCCTTGGTCTTTGAGCGAGCTGAAGCGGGAAAGGATGAGTGAGTCCCCTTCTGTGAGGAAGTGCTTGACAACGCCTTGGGCGGACATGGCCATCGAGAGCCTCAGAAGGTGTGGGTCGAAATACGTCGTCATTGTGCTGTTTCATTTCAGTGTGGAGTTCAGAAAGCAAGGAAGAGGGCGCACTTTTCGTGCACCTTCTCCACGGTTTTTTTGGGGAAGAGAGAGTAGAATGGGGAGTCGGAGCGGAATTCCCAGATGTAGACTAGACAGAGTACGATACCGTACATGACCTTTCCCACTGCGAACGCTGCGAGTGCCCATTCCGCGCCTCCTAGGAGCATCATACTAAACGTGGCTACGCTCTGTGATACGACACCAACGCCCTCTGCTCGTACTCGAGCGCCCATCCGAAGCTCGTTCACCGCGCGCACATGCCACGGTTCTGCGAGGAGGACGAGGAATGCCCCCAGCGCGTACAGTGCGACTGCGAGAGTGAAATGGGATTGTGTGCGAGTAGTGGAAGACGTGAGGGAGTAGTATACCATAGATGTAAGGAGAGAGAGAGGCAGACCAGCGTAGATCGGGAGAAGGGAGAGGTTAGCACTCTGTTGTGCTTGCCTCTGAACGCCTGAGAGTGTACGGGTGCCAGGGGCGGACCTGCCTTGGTCGGTACTCCTTAGCAGCGTGTTTCGAACACCTTCCCTAGACAAGAACAATATTGTCGACAGTACAAGATCGAGTTGCACACTTGCGGTGCCAAACACTTCTGGAGGTGCGATACGTACGAGGGCCTGGTTGAGGATGAAGGTGACTGCGCGTGTGAGGAGTTGGAGTAGGACAAGAGACGTTGCTGTCGATAAAGAGAGAGAGAGAAGAGTAGCTTGAGAGAGAACAGAAGTGCGTTTAGTGTGTAAATTGGACATCTTCAGAGAGTGTGCAAGGGATACACTTCAATGCAGAGGTATAAGTAGTACAGTGATTAATATCATTCACTGCGCCCTCAACAGGACGTGGACCCTGAGAGAGGACCCCGACTTTTTGGTGGCTGTGTACACTGCCACATACCAAATTATGATCAATGGTGAATATTCACTTTAACAGCCATATTCACTGTTCACCATGTTGGGCACTGTTCCATCATTCCTGGCAACTGCAGGTTGTAGGAGAACATTATCTGGCATCAGACTATTCCCTTATTCTTCAGTCGTGACTACCAGGACATTCTCAACCACAAGCCCGGTACTCAAACGAACAAGACAGGAGCGCACCGTCCTTCGTGCTCGGCGCACCAAACGCGCCCGCAAAGCTGCCTTAAAACCTGCGATTGAAGCGCGTCGTGAGGAGTGTGCAAGGGATAAACAACGAGATGTCGAGATGCTCAAGAATGAGATGGCCGCGAAGATGGAGGCGGTGGAGTGGCATACCCGGGATTTGCCAGCTTATGAGGAGGAAGATTTTGAGCGGGTGTGGGAGGCGCTTGTCAGCAACCCATTGGGCGATGGACCCGAGAAGAAGGTTGTCCCTGCAATAGGAAGCCGGATGCGAGAGCTTGAGATCGTTCAGGGCCTGTATCAGCGCTTGCTCACAGCTTCGGGTAGGTGTTAACCTCTCGCAGAGTCATCAGGCTAATAAGGAACAGGAGCCGAGAAATCGAAATCAGAACAAGCACCTCACTCCCGCCTCGACTTGTTCACAGATTATTTCCCACTTGTGGGATCTATCCCCCTCTCCCAAGCAGAAGAATCAAACATTCTCCGGCGGAGCGCGTCTGCAATACAACAAGAACTTTCTCAGTCTTCGACCGCCCAGAAGTCTGAGCCTGCACAACCAACATCGGGAGAAACGAGCAAAGAACGATGGCGTACATTGCTCTTCCTCGCTGCAGGCTCAGTACCTCGACAACGCACTCCGGATATACGCAATGAACTCCGTGCATCATACCCGATCGCACTGCACCGGATCCGCACGCTCGTTGCTAATGCTCATGGATCGGAGAACTCGGAAATGCCCTGGGATGCTAGTCCACCGGGAGTACGATTGCCAGTTGCAAGCAGAGAAGAATGGAGTGTTTTACTGGCAGCAGCCGCGTGTTTCCGAGATCGGGCGAGTGTGAAGGAAGTGTTCTACTTGATGCGGGTGAGTACTGTCTGGTCCATATAATAGTAGTAGCACTCATTGGGTTGTATAGTTTTCGGGATTCCCGATTACGGACGCGCTAAGGAGGGAGGTGCTGGAGGCATTCGCCCGACAAGGATGGGTTGAAGATGTTCAGGACCTGACGAGCTACATGAACCGAAGTGAGTGCACCCCTACACGCGCTCGATTTCAACCTAAATGCCCCTCAGCTCTCCCAGACGCCGCCCAGATTCCACAAGACTATATTGTCAAAGCCCTCTCCTATTCTGGTCAACTGGCACGAGCGATTACCCACCTCCATGCGCTGGAAAACAGCAACACCCCCGCCTCTCAATCCACGTACGCGTGTATCCTTTCCTCCCTCCTTTCCCGCCGCGGAATTGGGGCAGCCCGCGATCTCACGCTCGCGTGGGAACTGTTCGCTCACATGCGGTTCGTCGCCCACCCCGTTCCTAGTCGGGAGATCTACACTCTCATGCTCCGTGCGTGTGGAGCGGGCGTGCGTCCCCAGCCGGAGAGAGCGCAGGACTTGTGGACAGAGATGACACAAGATTCTGCGCATTCTCCGACGACGGAAGCGTATAACGCGCTCATTTACGTCTTGGCGAGGAGTAAAAGCACTGCGCTGGAAGCCTTTCGGCTTCTTGGGGAGCTCATCCAGCTTTCGCGCGATACGCTTCCTTCCCCTACCGGCCCTGTGCTTAGACCAGACATGAACACCTACCTCGCATTGCTCGAGAGTGCCAAGCGATTGGGAGACCTCCCGCGTGCGAGGTGGATACTGGCGGAGATGCTGAGAGATGCTCAGCGCGGGGGGGTTAAGCCGGATGAGAGGACTATGGTGGGGGTCTTCCAGGCTTATGCGGCATATGAAGTGCCGTTTGTGAGGGCGAAAGTCAAGGTTGTCGATGGTACCCAGGCTGCTCAGAAGGAGGAGAACATCGAGGCACAGAAGGAGGCTGTTGAAAAGGAAAATGAGCCACTACCGAGCGCACCCGTTCAAGTCGACACACTTACCTTCACCCCCGTCGTTCCTCAAAGTCATGCTGAAGTCATACGAGAAGTTGAGGCGCTCATGACCCGCATCCTGGAAGAATCTGCTCCCCAAGATCCCTCCCTTCCCTCCCCCACAGAGACCCCGCTCTTTGCAGAGGTCGTCCTCACACCGCGTCTGTGGAACTCGTTCCAATCTGTACACTGGGCACACTCGAGCCTCGATACTGCTATGGCACGGTATCACGAGCAGGCAACAAACCGGTTCGAGCCGAACGCGTGGACGTACCTCTATGCGCTTGAGAGGTGTGCATATCCGAGGAAGGAAGAGAGGTCCAAGGCGCTCGACTTTGCTCGTTTGGTATGGGTGGACTGGCTCACCTGGTTGGCGAAGAATGGACGTGGCCTCCTGGCGTGGGATCTGTCCAAAGAGCTGGGCACGCTCTCAGGAGCGAAGGGGGATATGCCTCCCCCCGCGGCGCTGACCGGAAGTGCTGCTGCTCGTGTGGCTGAACGCTGCTGGGCAGCGATGATCCGTGTCACGGCGCTCACTGACCAGCTGGACGAGTCTCTCTCCCTCGTCCGGGTGTTCATGAAACGGTTCCCTCCTGTCTCTCTCCATGCACGTCCCCAAACACCAGGAGAAGCTCTCGCATTTCGTCCTGCACTCCGGTCCTCGCAGGCTGAACGTTCACTCTCAGAGTCGGACGATGCTGTGCCACCCGTGCTCCTATTTAGGGATGTGGAGCTGCTCCATCACCGATTGGTTGCGCGCGGGAGGTTTGAGGATGTGGGGTTCCTGAGGTGGGCGTGTAAGGCTTATGTCGGCGGGTTAAGGGAGAGGAGAATGAAGGCGAGCGAAGAAGAGAAGCTGATGCTCCGTGAGCCAGCGGGTCCAGAGCCAGAGGAAGAGGAGGAAGTGGAAAGTATCGGGGAGCCTGCAGCGTGGCATTCCGATGAAATCCAGAAGAACCTGGGTATGGGGCAAGATATGACGTGGGAGCAGCCTGCAGCGATGGGGTCGAAGAGCATTCCTCCGCACTTGATCGAACGTCAACCGCACCAGTGGGCAAGCGGGACACCACAGGCATCCCCTTGGTTTCCGAGCAGTCGTATGCAGGCTCGCGGTTAGGCTTTATCTAGTTCCTGGATTGAAAGATGTACTTCATACCCAACACTAGATTCACTGTAATCTACACACCCGGTTCCGACTTCTGTACTAGAGGCCGACAGGATGCACCCATCGTTGTCCGTCTATGAGCGCCTCGCTCCCCTTTGTATCCGCATGCACTAACTTCTCGTATTCCTCTATTTCGTGCAGTGAGATCTTGACACCACCGCAGACGATGAAGACGACCGTGCGCTTGGAGGGGTCTTGTCCTGATGCTGGGGGGAGGATGGCGTCAAATAGCGGTTTGGAATAGGCAGGGACAAGGGTTGTCGAGCACGCTAGCTCGATGAGCATCTTGTGCTCCTCTGTGGTGGGTTAGCGGTCGTTGTGTAGGAAGTATGAAACAAGGCACCAAGGAACAGCAGCCCCGCACCCATACTCATTTCGTCTCGCACGGTCACACATCTGACGTTCCTCCATTCCAAAGCCATCTTCACCACACCTGCACTGGGGCTGCTGGCTCCCAAGCTCGCAGCGCGGCTCATGATCCTCGGCAGGGTCACGAGCCTCACTCCCTCCTCCTCTGACCGCACTGTCACTCCGTCCGGAAGCGCTGGGCGTTGTGCAACAGCACAAAACCGGTCATTCTGCAGCATGCTCTGGTGGAAACAGTTACTCCCCTCCGTCTCGAGAGCGACGACGGTCGTATCCCTCCAGCCGAGCGAGTTGACACCAGTGAGCAAACCGCCTAGAAGCCCACCACCACCGACCGAGCAGAGGATGGCACTTGGAGGTGGGGTGTTAGCCGGGAGTTGAGAGGTGAGCTCCGTGATCATGGTGCTATGGCCCCGCCAGAGAAGGGGATCGTCATATGCGGGAACCATTACCCTGTGTACATGCAGTGAGGTTTTGCGAACAAGCTGAACATGAAGGAGGCGTACGCATCAGGAGAGCTAGCGACGAGCTTCTCTGCCTCTCTCAGTGCATCTACGTATGCCTCCCCTCCGACGACAACGACTGCCTTCTCCCTCTCCAGCACTGGCTTAACGCTCTTCGCTGCCTCTGGGATGAAGATCGTGCATTTGACGTTCAAGTGTCTAGCCGCGTATGCCACTGCCAAGCCCGCGTTCCCCCCGCTCGCAGCGACGAGATGCGTTTCCCGTCCGTGCAGGGCGATGGCGTTCTGTGCAAAGAGGGAGATGCCACGGTATTTGAACGACTGAGATGGCTGCAACGTCTCGAGCTTGAGGTAGACCTGACATCCTAGACGTGCAGAGATTTGTGAACTGTAGATCAAGGACGTCTGGAACCAGAGGTGGGAGGACGGCGTCGACGGCATAGTGGACCGCGGGGACGGCGTTGGTGAGTGCAGTTTGAGAGGAGCGCAACTTTTATGTTGACATTCAGCACATTTCACCTAGCCACATGAGCGTTTATGTTCGGTCGGATCTAGCAGAGCGCACACAAGATGAGTAGCATGTAGGTGTAGGACGCGCGCAGCGGAGGCAAACTGCGTCCATAATTCCCTAAAAAGGAAAGAGCTTTATCTGTGTTCACACGGATGGGGGCAATTTACCTCCGTAATTTCCGAAAAAGGCAATTCCTCCCCTGCATATCGTCCCACCGTTGCCGAGGGTGCCAGAAGCCCACGTGGCTTTTTTCCGGAATCAAAATTCTTCTCTTCCTCCCGTTTTCCCACGCTTTCGAACATTGTGGGCTCTCTCTTGCACGTCGACGTTGACGTGCTCTGCTTTCGTTTGAACCTCTGGCCTGTCTGTGCTACCCATCCTGGGTGATGCGGGGCTGACTGTCAACCTTTGAAGACACTGGACCTCTCCCCCTGGCCCGGACCTCTCCTGTGGATGGATCAAGCCCCCCTCAAGCCTGCAAAACCGTCGCGTTCCGCTGTGCCTCCGTCTCCTCCCCCTCCCCTCCCCCTCCCCCTCCCCCTGCACCTCCCCCAGCATGCTCCCCTCCTCCCCCAACCCCTCCCCTCCCCTCCCTATGGCCCGTGTCCAGTGCAGCCTGCTGGGGGCCATGGGACAGTGCAGGAGCGTGGGCACATGCAGATGGTGCGGCACGCTCTGCATGGTGGCTCCACCCACCCACCCAGGCCACCGCCCCGGATGCGGTGCCCACCGTCCCTCCTTCCCCTGCCCCCACCCTACCTGTCCCCGCCCTCACCACCTCTGCTGCTGCCTTGGTTGGGCAGCAGTGCAGCAAGTTTGATGGAGCGCACAGCAGTGCACTCCCAGGGCTGTGCTCCATCCAGTGGGCCTGCCCACTCACCACCATTGCCACCCTGCCCAGCCCGGCACCTTCCTCTATCACCCCAGCATTCACCCCAGGCCCCACAATGCTGCCTTTCACCAGTCTGGGGCCCAGAAACCTTGCCTCCGCCCCCACATAAAAAACGGCACAAACAGAGCGATAGAGCAAGGGCTGAGAAGCAGGCACGCTGGTGCGCAAAGGTTGCGGAGCATGGCCTGGAGGGCAATGTCATCCAGGTTCTGCAGAAGAACCCCGACACCTTTGTTGTGCGGCCACGGAGCAATGCTGCTGTCCGTGAGAAGATCGATACACTCTTTCCTGGCTCCCTTGACCAACCCGGCATGTTTCCTCTCGCACCAGACCGTGGCGACTGGTTCTACCAGCTTGACCCTAGTGTCCCAGCCCCCCCTGAATGGCTGAGCACATGCCCTGCATTCCAGATCCATGATGGTTTTACACTGATGAAGAATGTCCTCATGCTCATCAAGAAGTTCTATGCCACCTCACCATCCTCAACACCCAATCCCAGGCAGGCAGAGGCCTGGTCCACCTCTTTGGTGATCTTCTTTGGCATCTGGCAGAGGTCAAGTGTGGTGCCTATTCTGACTGCAAACTCGATCAACCAATCCCCTGCAATGTGTTCAGCTATGGATTCACTATTGGATGCAGTGGATAGAGAGGTTGGGGAGCAGGTGCTTCAGCTCTTGGGAGCATGCATCCCTGAGGTCTTAGAGGAATGGAAAAGCTGTGCAACTTGGTCTCTTTCCCTTGTGTGGGCTGTAGCTGACTTTGCTCAGGATCCTCAAGTATGCATGGCATCACCCTGCCATCCTCCATCATCCTGTTGGCTGCCAGATATTGTATCTGCGCCAGTGCACATGGCTCTGCTTGGCCCTCATATGTGGAGGTGGCAACATTGGCCACATTGACATGAACAATGACCTCCACCAGTTCACTGTCCTATTCACATATGGAACATACACCATGGGCTACCTTGTGCTTCCGCAGCTCCAGATCAGGATCCCACTCCAACCTGATCAGCTTCTCTTCATCAAAATGTGGTGCCTGGTCCACTATGCCACCCATTTTGAAGGTGTTCAATATGTGTTTGCTGGCTTTATGGATGCCAATTTGTGCAATGACTATAGAAAGAGTAGCAGACCACTTTAGATGATGTCATGTATGCAACATGTGATGTCCCACATTATATCATCCTTGGTGGAGCTTAACAGCCCACTCCACTTCACTCCCATGTCTCTCCCAGCATTGCAATCACATGGCATGGCCACATGCTGCTCCACAGCAGCATGTGACACCCCACTAGGAGCAAGTTCAATGGGCATAAATACCAGCACAGTTGACGAGTGAATGACATACTGGTCCTTCCTTGCAACACATCTTCAACTATGTCTGCTGTCTTCAATGGAATCATTGGATGCAAGAACTGGTGACCCACAAACCCAGCTCAGGGTTGCAGTCATGGACCTGCTTGGCAAACATCCTCCTCACCCCCCATGCTGGCCCCATGAACAAGGTCACAGACAATGAACTCAACAGCATCCTCCACTACTTCCTCCCTGCAAGCAGTGCTGCTCCCCCTGCTGATGGAGTCTTCATGGTGACAGCAAGAATCACATCAGCAACCTCAGCCATGGTGCTGGGAGAACATGCAAGCTGTGAGAAGTCAGACATTTTCAAGCTTGACTGTCTTGCTGTATGTCCATCTCCATCTAAGGTGGTCATAGGTGCAAAGTTGATTCCACAATGCCAAGTTGCTACCCCAAGAATTCCGCAAGCACAACATGCTCCCCATTGTCTGTCTCATTGGTCAGCCATACAATGCCAGTGACCAAATGTTTGACCTCAAAGTTCAGCCCTATATTGTCAATGGCAAACATGCAGCCCAATTCAGCTGCTTTGTGCCTGAGGAGGGACACTTCACAAAATCTGCACCACATGTCAAGCCTGGATCATTTGTACATATCACTGGGGCCATTGTTGGGGAGACCCTCCCAAGGGAGGGCAGCCCAGATAACCAGCTCTCTCTTTGTGTATGCTTCCAGCTGCAGCACTATGCAAAGGACTCATTGCACTGCCAGGTACTTGATATTGACTTCCTCAGCATGGCCCTTGCAACCACCCCTGTGCCATCCCCTTTGACACCTGCAAAGCAGACAGGGTTCTGGAATTGCATGCCAAAAGTCATCACAGTCCCAAAGGGCTCCAGCAGAATCATCATCACAATCCCCATCTGCACATGACAACATCCACCCTTTGGTATACAAAGGCAGCCCCAGCCCAGAAGGCCTGTCTCATGGGCAAGATGTTGGCATTGAGGAGGAGGAGGACAGCCATGGGATAGATGATGCAAGTGAGCCATCAAAGGCAAAGAGGCAGCGCAAGGTGGCAAAGAAGCAGTTATCATAGCTGTGATGTGGTCTCAATAGCACACCACATGCATTGCACTCTACTCCACAAATGGAACACATGATCATTGTCTGCTCCCTTACTCCACAACATGCTGGCATAAAGGAGACATAAATGCTGGGATGTCCATGCATGCTAGCTCCAGACTGGTGCCATGCCTCAAACACCTTAGCAAGAACAGGAATGCTATGCATGGCAGACATCTGATCCTCACATGTGAGCAGAGCACAGGCAGAGGAACAGTGAGCTGCAGGCTGCTCACCATGTGGCCCAACATGCACAAGAAACACCTGAGGAACGTGCTCACCAACTGGCACAGTGTTGAGCCCAGAGACAGCAGCAGCAAGTGGCCCAGGCAGAGCAGCCATGGTGGCTCATGTTTCCTACCACAGCAACAGACACTGCCCAGCAACAGGCTATTTTGACATTGTTAGGGCAACACAGGCTGACTAAGTCTGCTCACCTAAGAGTGCCAA